GAGGTTAAATTAACCTTGGATGAAGACTCATCAGTTTCAGCTTCTGTGCTGAGGAAGAGTCTATTCTGTACAACATCCTCATTTGTTTTAAGAAGACCTGTGTAGATTTTAGTCCCTCTTGTTGTGCTGGTTTGCCATTGTTAATATATTCTGCTTTTCCCTGTACGATGATAAGCTCGGGGCGGGGAATTTCCTGAGTGAATCAAGGCCGGCTAATAGCTGCATGATGATTTCCTAATAATCCATTAAAGCACCGTCGACATTTATAAGACTCATGTTACATTTGTTATGTCACTGTGAGTTCATGTAGGCATGTCTGTATGTCCACAATGCTCGTCCAGTCTGAGGCACCACCGAGTTAAAAACTGACCCAAACCCAAAGTCTTCATTAAACTTCAACCTCCAGCCATCTTTATTTATTTAAACTATTTACAAAAGCAAGCTGACCAGCTGCTAGGGTCTAAAGATGAAAACTAAACCGCAGCAACTGTCAGGCTAATAGGAACACATTAGCACAGGGAAGATGGAGGATGAGGGTTAAGTTGTTCTCAGTGAAATTTCAGGGTGAAGCTCCCAGACGGGCCGAGACAAACAATCGTGGCAGAAAGAAACAGACGTCTGAGATGATCCAACCACAACACGAGGTTAGTCATGAATGTTCCCGTGAGGTTTGGATTACTCACTATAAAAAGTTCTTTTTTAACACGACTCAAACTACAAGAGATCGTTACCAAGCCTCAGACAGCCCAGGCCCAGCAACAGGCACGTATTAGACACGTCCTAACTCTATACTCATTTCTGCTACAGACCAAATTCAAACGGTGTCGGAAAGAAGGGATGACGAGCTTTACTGGGATGTTCGGTGTATCACGGTAGCACCAAGTATCCACGGGGTAGCGTAACATAACCACAGACCTGCCTCTATTTCACCATGTGCACTTCACGTTACTGCAACTCCTCAGCCAGAACTACAAAATCAGTCCAGGCAGCCTGTATGATACAGGCTGATAAATGGCTGACGTGGTTAAAAGGAGCAGATAGATGTTATCAACTACTTTTACCGTCAGCTGAAATCTGACTGTTTATGTTTATTTAATTACAGTACATCAAATTATTAACATTCCTCTCTCTACAACATCGCTCCAGGTGGAAACGCAGCTTTGCATCTATTAATTTCATATGCAAATACATCTTCTCTGACTTTACTTCTATGATCAAGTAAAGAAAGTTCAGCAAGAGCTCCATGTGGTGCAGGCGTGTTTGCACACATGAATGAATGAAGAGGAGCCAAGAGGGTTCTGAACAAAAGTGCTGAAATGAAGAGCAGATGAGAAAATAAAAGGGGACGAGGGGGGAAGAGCGGAGATATATTTAGATCACGTAGCTCACGGTCAGCAGTGTCGTTCAATTCCTAAAGGCACAGCACAGAAGTGAAGAACAGCAGGCACGGAGGGAGGTAAAGAGAACAGCCGTGGTGGTGGTAACCACAGAGGCCGAACACCACAAACACACCTTCCTGTCTTAACTGAGCAAACTGATCACAAATTTTCAATGGAAATTAGAAGCGGTTTAGTTTACATGTCGTGGTTATCTGAGCAGGAAATTCTGGCTGCGTCGAGCCCCGCCCCCCAAGTCGTTAAATCTGCTTCGCTGCTCAAAACTGATTGCAACTGCCTTCGAGGCAAAAGTTTTTCTTACTAATTCTTTACTTCAGTTATTCCCAAACATCTCAGAGGCAGCGTGTGTGCACAATCGATTACATTTAACAAAGCGACCCAGATAAGCTGCAGAAAACGGATGGATGCATAAAGCTATGCACATTTACAGCTTTACACTCTGAATATTGTCAGAGTTACAGGCGTTGTAAATCCACAGATGGGTCAAACCTTCTTAATATTTGTATGTTTGAGGTCTCGTTACTTCTTAAAAACCAGAGACGACTTCTTATCTGGAGCACAATCACGAGCTTCCAAAGTGCAGCCTGTGAGCAGAGCTGAGGTACAAAGTCTGAAATGAAAGTGGGGAAGTATTTCCCCCAGAGATACCTCTTTGGCCACGGTGCTTTTCCACTGTGAGCTACACCTGAAACCCCCCCACTCAAAGAAATACGCACAAAAATGGAAACGCCACAGTGAACATACGTTTCCCTTCACTCGGGAATTAAGAACTAAAATTCATTTTCATTTTCTCGTTCAAAGTGAGGTTTTAGGAATTCGAGCCTCAAATGTAGACCACAGAATTTAATTCTTCATAGCCGGCCGTGTGAGGCCACTGACTGGGCTCCTATACTGGAACAACATTTAGAGAAACAGCTGGAGCGATTCCACTCGTCGTTCGATTCTGTTTAGGCAAGATAAACTGCTTCGTTCAGGTTAGAGTCTCACGTTAATGCCAGCAAAGACCAGCACTGAGCCAGGCAAGCAAACAGACATCAAGTTTGTTTGAGAAAGCGCCTCGCGGTGTTGCTCAACACCCAAACAGCTCCGTCCTGACCAAAAACAGGCTGAGCGACAGGAGTATTTAACAGTGTTAGTGACCATGGAGAGGTGCAGTCAGATGTGGTTACACAACAGCTGTATTTTTCCCCGATGCTGTCACCAAAACAACAGAAAAAGCGACGCATCATTCCTAAAAGCTCTGCACACTTAAACTCTGCATATTCAGGCAGGTCTTTCCTCTCAAGTACCAACCAAGCAGGCCCAGGCGATGAAATAATGTGTAAACATGCCCTGAGAAAAGAGGCGTCTGCATCGCAGCGCGTGCCAGGGACCCTGTCATGGCAACGCCTCCTGAGCCCCGACCATTCATCACAGTGCAGCTGGTACACGTCGCCATGGCTGTTCCTCAGTCCGACTCCACCGAGACATGAGAAGGAGAACAGAGTGGAAAAAAGCCCATCATTCTCCAGCTTTTTCCGCCTCCTGTCCTCTCTTTCTGCCTCTGGTGGCTCAAGCTGTTTCCATAGTGAGGCCTTCCTCACCAAAGCATTAGGGAAAGTTATTATCTAATGACAATCAAAGCAACCTGCACCAGTTTGTAGATGGGATCCATGGGGATAAGAAAATCTCCTCAGGGATAGATAACCCACAACACAAAGGCCTCCCAGAAGCAACAACATAACAACACAGCAGCTTTTTCAACATTCAGGATTCAAGGTAGTAAAAATTTATGTTTTGATGTTAAAAGTTAACACCTAAAAAAATAAGAGTTCAAATCGAGCAATACTGAAATGATTCAATGATGCAATTCGTCTGCAGCTAAATCTTTATCGTGATAAATACGGAAACAAAAACGTGTCAAAGGCTTTTTTACACTAACAACAAAAGGCATGCTGTAACGAAAACTAGCTCCATGTAACACTGAAGGCAGATGATGCTGAAGCTGCTCAGCTGTATTGAAACAACAACATCCTGAAAAGCTTGTCTGAGATGCTATCAACAACGCGGTCTGAGCCTAACGCTTCATGCAGGCCAAAAAAAGGAAGCACCACAGAGGGTGCTATTTAAAAGAAAAAGGAAGAAACGGCGTGAAAAGAACAGAAACGTTCTTAAAGTGTGGTCAAGTGTCTCCTCTGCAGAAAGAGCTTATACTGAGTCTCAGCCTTCCTAAGCAAATCTGACCCAAGGTTATATTGAAACAGAAAGGATAAGGCCGCATGAAGCGTGTTTTAAAGTCACACATAACAGCCCCAGCACCAACCACACTAATCTGACTTTATAACAGCAGCAACAAAAAAGAGATTAAATGAGACCTGGTGCAGAACCAGCAGCCGTTAGTGATTTTAGCCCACGTTTACGGTTCGGTAACAGAACCTAATAGTACAGATTACTTATTTTGTTTCTGTAATTTCATTTTATTTAAAGGTAAGTGTTCAAAAACAGAAAAAACCAACCAACAGATCTTTGCTCACAGCACCTGACCACAGCAGCCTGAAAAACTATAGAAGTGAGAATCAAGATAGAGAAGTGGCTTCGACCAAACAGTTTCCTGAAACACACAAACTCAAGTATTACATCTTCATGAAAACCTTTTTAAAAATACCTGCCCTCATGATCTGTATCACTGTTTATCCTGCTTACCTCATACTTCAGTTTATAAAGATATAAATCTGGACTCTGAGCTCTTTAATACCTGTGACAGCATGTTTACTCTGACTGATAAGAGCAGGACGACTTCAGAGACAGACTGAAGCTCTGGTCCTCTCCCCGGTAGGACAAAGAAGAGCAGCCCCTCTGCTGCTCTCTCACCTCCAGTGTGGGCTGGGTTCAGAGGGGGAAGGGGGCCGCCATGCTGGGCCTTTTGTCCCGCTGTGGAAAGCACATATACGAGGACATATGGGCAGGAAGACAGGCTGAGAAACCTGCCTTATAGCAGGGAGGTAGCGGGAAATGGCGAAATTAACGAGTTCTGTCCGCACGTTAAAGTGCTCAGAGAGTAGTTAGCTAATAACGAAGCCAGTTTCCTGGTAAATGCAGCTGCCATCGTTAAACTTTTATCGGGGTCGGCTTTTGCTTATAGGATCAACACATCAGCTAAAACGGAAGAAGAAGAAAAACAGACTTCGGGGGGCTTTATAGCAGACACAAAGTTAGTTAGAGCTGGTATTAATCAGCATTAGCTTACGCAATGCTGCTAAGAGCTAATATACTGATTTAAACCCAGTGTTTGCCCTTATTCTTGGTAACACTCGGGCTCGCATCGACAGTTTTCCAGCAGGGGTCTGATTACTTTTAAGTGGAGCTAACAACAGTCCCGACTGCCTTTAAACTGGGCTCACTTTTTCCTGGTTTTTAAATCAAGTAAAAACATCCGAGAAAAGGGCTCCCACCCCAACTCCAAGCCGATCCTCGCCAGCTGTGAACGCCGAGCCGCGCCGCGCTATCCGCGGAGGGGAGGTTGTTAGTTAGTTACTTAGCTGGCTAGCTAACGGGCTAGCATCCCCACACGGAGCTGTTTTGGCTCCATCATAAAAACAACCAAACGTCTTTTTTCAGTCTTACCTGAAGGTGTTTTTATCCCCCTGCAGGTGACGCGACAGTTAGCGGTCGGTGTCCCTCCAGCTGCCCGTTTCCTGCTCAGTATTTCCGATGTGCGCTGAAGTTGGAGCTGCTGTTTGGTTGCTGGCTCGGAGGCTGAATGAGCAGAGCCGCTGCAGCTCGGCACTTTTCTCCTCCCCTCCGCGCTCACAGCTCAGAGCTCAGCAACACCGACAACCTGCCACGGCCACAGCTGCTGCTGCTTTACCACAGGAGCTGCAAAAACAGCCACCAAGACCCACGGGGGACTGTTTTATTTTCTTTTTTGTTTCTGTGGCTTTGACATAAAAGCTAGCAATGAATATGGAAATCATCCTTGGTTATTTTTTTTACTTGTTTCTTTATCACTGCTGTCTGTGATGTATTTTAATTACATTCTCCAGCTGTAATCTTTAACCTGTACTTCTATCTGCTGCCCTTTTTAAGGGTCACCCCCCTCCTGTGTCACACTAACCATCTGGATGTCCTCCTTCATCACATCCATGAATCTTCTCTGAGCTTTTCCTTTTTCCTCCTGTGTGGCAGCTTCTTCATCATTCGTTGCCCCTCATTTACATCATCCCTCCTCTGCACATGTGCAAACGTCTGTCTTGGCTCTCCACGACTCTGTCTCCAAACTGCTCAAGCTGAGCTGTCCCTCTGACACGTCCATTTATAATCCTGTTCATCCCGGTCTCTCCCAGTGAAATCCTAACATCTTCAGCTCAGCCTTCCACCTTTTTGTCTCAAAATCATGCGTCACAGCAGGTCTCACTACCATCTTGTAAGTTTGCCCTTTCACTTCTCCTGCTATCCTTCTGTCACAAATGACCTCTGACACTCGTCTCCACCCTGGATGCGCTCTCTCTTGTGCACTGTCCATCACTGGTTGAGCACAGTTATAGGTAATTAATATTATGAATGGTACCGAGAAAATGAAGTGTCAGCATAGACCTTCAGTTTTGGGAAACGTGGCACATTATATGTATGTTGACTGGGGGTTGGGTTCATTTAATAAAATCCAAGGGGAAGCACAAAAGCCCAGTGTAAGACAAATAAGCATTATTTTGAACTGTGACTCATGCAAAGCTGCTCCAGTAGAGTCCAACATTAAAAATGTGGAGCTGAGAATGAGCAGAACGAGTGCACTTCAACAATGTGTTGTTTTTAAGCCTGCTATGTTAGCCATCGTGCATGAAGTAAAGCTTAGTAAGTACGGTGGAGTAGAGACTAAACATTTCTCTCTGGACTGAGTGAAAGCATAAAGTAGTATAACGTGGAAATACTCCAGTACAAGTACCTCAGGGTTGTACCTGAGTGCGGTCTTTGTGTAAATGTGCTTTATTCCTCCACAGCCAAACCTGAGGGCAGTTTTTAGAAGTCAAGTCTGTTATATTCTGTTCACTGTTTATGGCTTTATTATTTTTACAGGTTCCTAAAGGAGATTAGTTGTTTTCCCGACCTTTGTACAGACATTTCATCTGAATTACAAATCTATAAATCTTACCTGTAATACAATCAGTGGTGGGCTCGACTTTATTTTATACTTTTAGGTTTTGAGGGTGTCCCTGGCAATTACATAATCCAGAATAAGGCCATGAGTTTCGTGAGGTGCATAAATTTCCTGCGAGTGGCTAAAGGGTAAATGGCACAGGAAGCATAGCAGGATGTGTGCTGGTAGAGAAAGCTCACTGCAGTAATTTCCATTTAATCTGAAGTTGGTTCACAGAAATCAAAGCCAACATTCATTTCGTTGGGAGGCACTGCCGTCAGCTGTTCTGTATGATAATCATATTTTGGGTTCAGTAAGGGTGTGTCTATAGACGGGCACATGGAGCCCCCCCCCAAAAAATGTCAGCTAGGACCCATCCATCTTTAATATACAGTCTGTATACTCATTCCAAAGTCGTCATTTAAAACTGTGATGATCTGGAATTTAAAGATAAACAACTCACTCATCGCCTGCAGCAGGTTACAAACACATTTAAGGTAAGAGATGATAACATTTATGCTTTCAGAAGACAAGCGTTTAGATGAATGATGGCTGTGGCTGCCTCTGCACTGAATCACCTTTGTTTACCTGTTTCCGCGAAGATAACAGTTATCGAGATGACAGGCCAGCCACCTCGCTACAGCTTACTTCCTGTCAGCGCCTCAACAGCTCAAAGCAGCATGGATGTTCTGGTGTCAGGCCTGTGGTACAGGCTCTTCCCTCGACAGTGCTTTGGGAGAAACCACAGGGTGGATCAAATATTCACCAGGATGTCCTCCTGCCCAGAAATAGCGATCCCGCAGCTCTGTCCCTTTTATTTCGACCAGGTCACCTACATCCTTCCTACCACGCCCCTGTAGGTACCACCACTCTGATGGACAGGCGGTTCTTTAACTTGTGTATTTGATTTCCTAATCATCTTCCTCCCACTTCAAGGGGCAGCGGTAACCTCCAGCTGCAATGCTTCAACTCACGGGCAAACTTAAAAACAGAGACGCAAAGACCGGCAGGGGTGCGCCGAGAAGCTCGGCCCAGCACCGGCATCCATCTGAGTCGACTCTGTCAACTCCAGAAGCCAAAAAGCGGCAGCAGTTTATCCACACGGGACTACATCTATCTCATGTATGGCTCCCACTGCTGATTAATAAATGTGTCTATTTTATCTGGTAAATGTTGCGATTGTACCTGATATTACTTCAGCCATTAAAGAACAGGTAACTTTGTGTTGTTTGATCCCCATCGATGAAGCCAAGTCCCACCCAGAGAGTGAGCATCAGGTCTAAACGGGTGCTTCGGTGCCACAAAGATGAAATGAAAAGGCTGGTGCTGGTCCGGAGTGGTGACAACACAGCGACTGCTGGATCTGAAAAATGAAGTCAGCATCGAAGCATCTAAAACTGCCGTGGCTCTAAGGTCCACCCTAAAATATGCGAGACTGCGTTTAAATCAATTAAAGTGACTCCCGCTTAATATTCTCCATCGAATAACAAACATTTGTTGCTGCTCTAATGGCTCAGCCAGAAGTAGAAAAACAATCACCATCATTTCCTGTTTTTATGGAAAACATCTTTAATGTATTTCTCGGGTTATTCAGACTACACACAGATACAAATGCTCTATCCTAGCTACAGTCAGGGCCAGAGATTTTAGGAACCAGAGGAGCGCATGTAGGAAAACACACTCCTTCACATGGTGGTGTGACACGGGGCTGACGTGAGGCCACGAGCGCCACAGTGAGTAAATTTAGTCCAAAAATCAACGCAGGTCGTGAATTCACAAAAGACTCGCCGTAGTTACAGACACAGACGGAAATCAATAACAGACGTGTGTCTGGACATCTTTATTCTTCCCGATGATCTTTCCCGTCTACTTGTAGAACTCGTGCTCCTGCTCGTCCTTTTTGATGACCGTTTTGTAGGCTTTTTCAAAATCTTTGGCGAGGACGATGTACCTGTTCTCTCGCACTGCCAACATGCCGGCCTGAGACAAGACAAGAAGAAAAGTAATCAGTTTTATCTTATTATGAAAGTAAATAAGGTTAAAACCATTATAAGTCTAATTTAAAGTTCCCAGAATAAACACAACATCTCACACAGGTGGTTTTTGGCCACGTTTGGCGCTCGTTTTATGATCTTGTAGCTTTAAACTGAAATTGAGCCGCCGCTTTTAGGAAGAGGTCGTCAACAAAAGGTCGCTGATTCAGTTCCCTTTAGGTGGCGTCAGGAAAAGCATCGGACGGAAAACTCTCCCAAATTTAAACACGTGGAGCGAACGGCTCAAAAAAGCTTCTACATTTAAAACTGGCTGATCGAAGTAACATTCAGCTCACAGCCGATCAAATTTTAAGACGTCTCCAAACTGTATTTAAGACATTATCACTAATAACTCATACTTAATGGATACATTATTTTAAAAAGTGTAAACAAGTAGGTGTAGTGCATAGCTCACCTCCTGGCAGATGGAGTTGATGTCAGCTCCAGAGATCTTGTCTGGTCGGGCCACATCTGTGTGTCAGTGAAGGCCGAATCAACAAAAACAGCATTCAATGAATCAGCAGCAGTGATGAGGTGTCTATGGAGGAGGTGCGATGTAAACAGTACGCAGGGAGCACATTCTCATCTCTAACACTTTACAATGCAAAGCAAGCCGTTGGTGTGTTTTATGCCAAACGCGAGAGTCGAAACCAGTTCAGCCCTGAATCCAAGTGGATAATGTGGAGGACAGACATGCAAAGTAAACGCAGATGGAAGGACTCGCAGACTGAACACAACAAAACCTCCAGCCAAAGAAGTCAACAGCCCAGAGTCGGAAACGAAACCCAGCAATGTAGAAACTCACAGTGAACCGTTTAAATGAGAAAACCTGAAGTGAGACAGTTACTACGTGCTGTGGTGAACGCTGCAGAGCGGGAACAAAATAAGCTCAAGGGCCAAAAGGATACAGTCCTCCAGGTCGACCTCCTCCGACAGGTTCATTTTACTGGTGATGGTGGAGAAAATGAGACGCTTCTGCCTGCGGTCGGGCAACGGGAACTCGATCTTCCTGTCCAGACGACCCGGGCGGAGCAGAGCCGGGTCCAGAGTGTCGGCTCTGTTGGTGGCCATGATCACCTGAAGACGGGGAAGAGGGGGTTGACATGTTCTTAAAGCACATGACTGTAAACGTGACATGTGATGTGTTCACTTAATAAAGGCACAGATGATTATTCTTTAACTTGGACTGTCTCTCCACAGGGGTTTCCTTGAACTCTTAAGCTCTTCAAATGAAAAACAGAAAAAATAAAGAGAAAACCAACAGGTGGAGGTGATGGAGGACAGCAGGGAGTGACATCACTCTGCTGTAAACACCGTCGAGCTGCAGTGAGCCTGCGTCGTGTTGTTGGAAATCTTTGCTTTTTCATGGCATTTGCGACTATTTATAAAAAGATAACGCACAATGAGCTTTATTTATTTACAATGGTTATTATATGAAGTAGCAGTTTGGAATACTTGGATCTCGCTTCTTTAAATCCTCCACGATCTGCCATTACGGCCCTTTAGATCTAATTTACCGCTCCGACAGCTGCTGAACTTCTTGACACAGTAATTTTGAATTTTGGAAGAAAACACAGTCTTTGTATATTATTCTGTGCTGGGATGATGAAGAATGGGACTGGATACTGTGGAAGAATAAACTAATGTCAATGAACTAAAGGTTACTTAACTTTAGAGACGTGTGTTGTTTTTACTGGACGGGACAGGAGGATGATTTACTCCAGGCTGTACGTCA